TATGGGCTTGGATAGAAGCAGAGAGGAGGGTGCATGAGGAATATCTTAATGTCAGGATGGCTTTGTCCCTTGCAACAAACATCCTCAGATGCTGTAACTACAGTCCATCACCGAAAAAGAACCATTGGTAGAAATTTTGTTTTCAGTGATAACTCTTGGGAGCAGTGAAAATATGTTTTAAAATCAAATTTGGAAATTTCCTCAAAGCCGCCTCTTCTAAGACAAATGAGCCTCTTACAAGATGTCTGGTTAAATAAAGTAATGGATGTGAAAGGCTTTGCAAACCATTAACGTGCTATATAAATGGAAGGTGTTATCATCATGTACTGTGTGTTGAAAACATGCAGTAAAAAGAGATTATTTTTGTGGGCTAAATAGTCAAATATGGGCTGCATGACAGCACTGTGAAGTGGAGTCATAATTGATGAATGACTGTGCCCAGAAAGGTTGATTAATGTGTGGATGCTAACCTGGAGGAATATTGCTGCTGCAGTGCTACAGATTTGTTGTTGTTGTTGTTACTGTTTTTGTTAAATTTTGTTTTCTTTTTTTACCCTTTTCTTGTGCAAACTATATTTCAGGGTTTTAAAGCATACTTATTAAATTTAATTGTAAAACTAGTATGGATGAGTTAGCTAAAATATATTGGCCTTAAGAAGTACCTTGCTATATGAGTAAGCTGAGCTTTAGGTAGGCTAGTAACTTGCCCACCTATTTAACAAACATGAAGTTCCCACACTTGCATGTGAGACTGATCTGAGCTTTATATAAATGTCAATCACTTATTCCTCATACCAACCTATGACACTGATACTATTATTTTCATTTCATAGCTTAGAAATTGAGGCACAGGGAAGGTAAGTAATCTGTCCAAAGTCACACAGCTAGTAACTAGACTCCAGCAGAGGCATTCTGATTGGGTAATCCAAGCCTCTGGGCACACTCTTAGGGTACCTCTGCTCCATGCTGTGTTTCCTTCAATGATGTGCTTAAGTTTGCACAGCCAGATCTGAGGTGATCCTGCCCTCTCCTGACACACTGGGAACCAGAGCATCTTTGAGGTTTCAAAGGTAGCAGTGAGCATCTCTGATTCAGTTGATGTTCTTTTGACCTACTTTGGAGCATCCATGCCTGAAGGCTTCTTTTGCGAGGCACCAATTCAATCTCAGACTCTTAAATTCCTGTCAATGGTTCTTTGTGCCAGACAGCATTCCCTCCTGCATAAAATACATCCTTATTCTCATTATATCTCCCCATAAAACTTTCATCAATTTGAAAATTGTAAAATGCATTCCTTTTTATGCAGACATTTAATTTATGTATGGTTAAATGACAATTGAGCAATATATCCTCCTGCATACCCAAATACCATCCCAACTCTGCAATTTGAAAATAAATTGACGATCTTAAAATTGGCATAGATTTTAAGGAGATGGAATCTTCACAACCAGACTTTAGAGGATGTTTATCTGCAAAGCAAACTACAGGACATGCTTTGGCTTGCTCAGCAGATTCTACTTAGAAGAGGTTTGAGATAGAACCACCAATTTAGCCAATCTGATTCAAATTCACCTTTGGAAAAAATGGTGGGCTCTTTCCTAATGTGCATGGATGAAGCTGGAAGTTTCAACCTCTCAGCCTCTCAACCTCTCACTTTCAGAAACACTGAAGTTTAAAATATAAAGGTGTTGTTTTTGCTTCACACCCAAATGTCAGAGCTAGATATTCTGATTTCTCTTGATTGGCTCCAGGTGATGTTAAGTGGAATGCAGGAAATTATCAAAATCAATCTATCTTCCAAGGCTTTCTTTTAAATTACAGGGTCTGAATCAAAATGTAAAATACATTATCCCTATTCTAAGTTCCCTTCCATGATTTTTCATAGTTCTCACTCTATGAATGAGCAAGTAAAATTGGCAAAATAGCATGTATTTTTTTTCTTCTAGTAAGGTTGTTAGAACCTAGTATTTTCTAAATAAATAAAGTATTAAAAATCTGCCTCTTGCTTACTGGATTTCTAAGGATTTAATTGCCATCTTTCTGAAGGGTTAAGAAAGAAAATCTCCCCACATCAATGGATCAGCACAGTGACTTACATATTAACAATAAAATGCAGAGCATGAATCATAACTAAAGAATGCAATCATCACTGGGAACAGTAATACATGGTCAACCATAGTTATCAAAAAGTTGAAATATTCAAATACTACCCCTAGAGAACTTTCATGCATCTAAGCAAGGGTCCTGGCCAAAACCCAAATCTAGTAGAAACTGGAATATTCTAGAAAGCAAAACAAAATACAAAGTAATTATAAATATAATGCTGAAGATATTGTTTAATATTCTGCTACAAAAAATATGGTTGGAAGACTGATACCTGGGAACTTTTTAGAAATGAAGAACCTTAGGCCACACCCTAGACCTACTGAATCACAATCTAATTTTTTGCAAGATCTTACATGATTCATGTGTACATTAAAGTTTGGAAAGTGCTGCTTTAAAGTATTTTTGTGAATGGAATTATGTGGACAACTGCCGTTTTTCGAGGACAAGATCACATACCAAGATTAATGGTCACCCTTGTTTTGCAGTGAGGCCATCATCTCATAGTGGGAAAAAGTCTCATATTCTGTTGCTCTGAAAAGATAATGACTTGCAGAGAATTATTTTTCCTGGAGGAGGAGAAGCAGCTATGGGGGAATAGCAGCTCATCACTCTCAGTAACAACAAATGCCAACTTGACCTGCATTGTTATTTCTGACACATCGTCTTGCATTTCTTGCCATATTATGCTGGTGGATTCTTTGCCTTCTTTATTTTTTATTTTTAGGTCAGAGAAGGAAACTGACCAGGAGGTTGCTGCAGGCATTTGGAAATATGGTCTTCTCTGTCTATTTCATTCTATCTGCTGTGTCTGCTGCAGCAGTTCTTTCCTGGGTGATTTTAAGAGCTTATCAATCATGTGACTGTTGAGATACCCAAGCCATCAAGCAAGCACCTCTCCCATGACATGATAACTTGTGTTAATAATAAAATGAAACTGTGATAGGAGATGTAGAAAAATAGAAATCAGAGTGGGGCCCTCAGGGGAGTGAGGGAGAGGATGAAGGAGTCAGGAGGAAAGCCGTGTCCCTAAGTCATGCAGAAGGAAGTGGAGCAACAGACCCTGACACAGCATTAGTGATGGGGAAGAAATGGCCATCAGTCACTCCCTGCCCCTTCTTGGCTGCCTGGAAGAAAACACAAAGCTTGGTACCATGCATTTTCTTATCTCTCATCTCAGAGAAGGCTTATGCTGAGTTTTTACTAGGGAAGAAAATAAGACATGGCTGTTGGACACGAGAACATGTTATTCTTTTTAACTGTTTACATTAGCTAGAGGAGAAGAGGGGTGCAATTGTCTTTTTAAAACTGGGGGCCACTGAAGCTATGAACTGAGAGGACTGGAATCTCAAGCGTTGATGAGAAAGCCCACTGGGACAGTGTCACTGATGCTAACAGTCAAAACTAGTTGAAACACCATGGTAATTATATTCTTATCTTGTGCAGTAAGGCTGATGTTAGAGCTGGAACTTCTGAGTAATACCAGCTAACTTTGCTATTCATACAATGTGAATAACATGACTGTGTGCCAGGGTCAAACGAACTCACAACTGTGTGAGCTAAACTTTTTAAAATAAAGATAGAAATGTTTGGCCAATTCAGATCGGGAATAAACATGCTATGAAAACTGTTTTAAACCTTCTCTGGTCCTGATGATATTGACATTCAGAACATTCTCCTCATTCATGCCCATGTCCTCTTGGGGCCACACTGTTCTCATCCATACTGGAATCTTTAATTCCAGCCTTAGCACCTCCTGTCAGTCCTCCACACCACAGTCATAGTGCTCTTCCCAAGATATAGGGCAGGGCAGGTCACTCCTTGGCTCTCAACTCTCCATGTCTTCTCATCCTGAGGCTCTGAGTTTGTGGCTTGCCACCCCTCACCTCTCAGCCCTCCCCTGTCATAGCCTTCTCCTGCCTTCTTTGCCTTGGCCCAGCCATCCTGAACTTCTCCTTCCTCAACTGTACTAGACATGTCTTTCTTCAAGGTCTCTGCCTAGTGTATAATTCCTTGAAATAGACAGACAATTCACCCTTCGTTTACTTTATGTCTGCTCAATAATTGTCTTATCAAAGAAAGTTACCTGAATGCCTTCCGTAATCTCTGAGTTTCAATACTTGTATAATTAAAAAACATCCGAGGCCTCGTTCATCACCTTCATACATGTATGTCTCCCCAGCTGAAATACAACCCTGTGGGGTTGGAGATCTTGTATGTCTTGTTTGCTACTCTCTCCTGGGTGCCTAGAAGAGGCCCAGGACTGTATTAAGAGAGTCCTTCATTTTTGGTGCCTATCTGTGTGTCTGGTGCTCTGCTGGTTTCTCACCCTGCTGGGCTCACAAATCCCTTTCCACCTTCTTGCTTTTGTTTGAATTTCTTTCTCTGTCTGGGGTGCCTGTGTGCTTCCCCAGATCTGTATGCTCAAGTCCAAACTTTCTTCAGGTCTCATGTTCTGTAGGAAACCTTCTCTTGTTTTGTTCTCACAGCTGAAAATGTCTCTTCATTTCACCAGCAGTGTCTGTGTCCTTCAAGTCTCTGACCTATAGGACAATGATTCATCTTCATGAGCGGGGAGCCATAAAAGGTGAAGCCATGTCTGATTTATCTTTATCTCCTGCTCCCCACCCCATCCCCAACTATACTTATTACTTTATATGTGGATAGTACTCAATGCATATTTCATCAATAAATATTGCAGATTTATTCTAACGTTGTTGATTTGATGGTTTGGTATACCTGGATAAGAAACGTTAGTAGAGTGCTTTCATAATTTGCAGTTTCTGTTTTTCTATATATTGATCCTGATGACTTTTTGGTTTGGTGTTTTGTGTGTGACGGGGGAGGGGTAGAAAAAATTTACTTTTGGTTGTAATCATTTTGCTTTGTTTTAATAGGTACTGAAAGAGAAAACATGCATTAAGAAGATAAAAGGCCAGTTGTCTTATCCAGCTGTCTCACGCCCAGGCTGGGTGCGTATCTAGAGAAAAGGTTCCTATTCCCAGAATTCTGTTAGCATCTCTCATTGCCCGAGGAAACATTTTCCTGACCTTTCTGATGATATTCTTCCCTATATCCTAGTAGGGAGAATCAAGATCAGGGAGCAAGTATGCTTAGAAAGACAACTGTTTAAAAACCTGGTTTTCTTTAGCCTGGATTTTCAATTCCAAACTGTCAAGATTCTGCATTAGAAGTTGGCAGTCTCCTTCTCTGTGGAGCTGCTGGTTTAATTGGGTAAGTTTTGCTGTGGTGACATTAGGGCTCATTAGGCTTTCTCTTATCAGTGGCGTAAGCTGTGAGATTTCAACCAAGCAGAGGGTTTAGATTCTAAATGAGAAATATAGATTAGCATTTTGCATAATGAAATAATGGACTTCAGTGTTACCTTTCTAGTGACAAAAGCAGAAACTTAAATCCATTGTAGGGTTCCTTGTTTAATCAATAAATAAACGAGAGGCACAGAAGATTTATTTCTTCTGAGGCAGCAAACACTATCATTTTTCTTAATTATCCTCAGGTTTGCCTTTCCTGCTTTCAGATTCTTTGCAAGTAAAAAGCTCTCTACATTACAAAAGGGACGTCAAAATCTCATGTTGTGTTTTTCTTTCTCCCTTACGTATGAAGCGTTTGGCTTTTTTTTTTTTTTTCCCTACAATGCCTTTATTTCTTAATGAAAACCTAATAAGGTCAGAGGTTTCTCAAGGTTTTCCAGGCTACCTTAGAGGCCAGAGGTTCCAGCTGAGGAGGAGAAATATCAAGGCAGCTGTAGGAGAGAAAACAAATAGTTTGAACTTTGGATCCACAGATGGTTATGCCTGCCAACTGTTATGAGCCAATGAATATCTGGCCTATCATTTGTCATATTTATTGCAGTACATAATGCTGTAATTTCTCATGGCATGGTTATTTATCTTGCTGTGTTCTCTGAATAGCTAAAATTGCAGCCATGTTGGAGCATATGTATACCTTTCGGGTTTCATCTTTAAATAGCAGCCCTGCAAATTGGCACAGGACTGCCCTCCAAGAACTGGGTTTATGAATGCTGCAAAAGCAACTTGTTAGAAGATTACAAAAAATTCTGACAACAATTTAAACTACTATTCTGGTCTTACTTCTATGCACTTATCTGCAGAGATTAAACAGAGCACAGGGTATACCCTGCAGTTCATTCCTTTTTAGAGGTATCAAGGTGTCTTCCTAAAATGGCAGCTTCTGCAGTCATGTGTACCAGACCTAGAGGCTTTCTGGGAGCAGGCAAAGATTCCTCTAACTTTGCAATAGAAAAGGGGCTTTGGAAAGGAGAAAGGTTGAGGATGGCAGGAAGAAGGCATGAGGTACTCAGTCACTGGTTCTTGACAGCAGTCATGGGGGCACTGCCACATCAAAAAGAGCAGCAGGCACACCTGTCTTTACTGGCATCCCCACTACTGGCAATGGTGAGTCAGGATAGAGGCTACATGATGCTTGATGACAGACGGTGTGACTTACAGGTGGGCAGAGAGACTCTTCAGGGTACTATTGCTCACCTGATACATCTCAGCACCCCTGATGAATCACTGGGTCCAAATGGGGCTTGGACTTGGGGGCAAATTTTAGTGCACACTGGAGCCTCCAAGAATGGCAGATGGAAAAATGTAGGTGCCTCCCATCCATACTGGGTTGGCTGCATCCCATTCCTGGAATGTGAAAACTCCTGCTTTGTTATAGATCCCTTTATTTTTTTATGATAAAGAAACTGTCAGCCACTCAGACCTGGAAAGGACAGGCAATCACTGGTCTTATTTTAGCCATGGGTGCACTCACAATGACTTTAATCTGAAATATTAACAATTGTTACTTCTTTTAGTCCCAAGATATCTCTCCTCTTCCTATCCCTTCAAAGCAGTGTAATAGCCATATGGTGTTCAGCAGAAGAGAGAATAGAGCATAATGTCATTCTTGTTATTATTAGGGTTACAGTCTGCAGGTTAAGACGCTGAAGTCCTTCACCCCTGGCTTAACTTCCACATTAAGGAAGGGATGTCAGCTCTCTTCTGTGTCTCTCTCTCCCTGCCTTTCTGTTCCTGTTCTCTTCTGTCTCAGGCTGTGCAGAAACAAAACTCTAATAGGTAAGATAACTCAGGAGAAAAATAAGGCTCTACAAATGTAATTCTGATGGTATGATTCTGAATTGTTTTCTGTTCTCATGAGAAATAAAAAAGGGTGGTTTTTCTGAGGGCGGTAAAGCTGGGTGAGGACCAACCACTTGGGTTGTCTCAAGTTAATAAGGGTGTGCTCAAAGAAAGGAAGAATGAGCAGATGACCTAGTACAAACCTGAAATTCATGCAGGAAACTGCATGAAGAATGTCATAAAGGTTAAGACTCAGAAAGAATGAGACTTTTGAAAAATACCAAAGGGGACAAGAAGCTTTAAAGTCATTGTCAGTGCTTAGTGCATGGAATGGCAGTCTAAGGTCCATGGACAGTGATAAAAAAGTTACTATTTCCAGTTCTCTTTTACATCTGTCTCCCAGGTTAGGCACAATGCCTTTTAAGACTAGGAAAGATGGAGGAACCATTGGTTAGAGAACTGGAAGGCTAAGATATGTAAGATGTTTTTCAAAGAGCACTGTTCAGATTTTTAGGTCTAGACACGTGCGTCTCAGATCCTAGGGACACAGGAATCACTGAACAGCCCTTGAGGGAACAGTGACAATAGGGCAACTCCAGTCTGAGTAAGTGTCCCCATTTAAAAGAAGGGAACTATATTATTAAGCAACTGGTTTATGTACATTAAAAAAGGAAGCAAATTGGGCATGGTGGCACAGTATGCAATCCCAGTAACACAGGAGTCTGAGGCAGGAGGATCTCAAGTCAGAAGCCAACCTCAACAACTTATCAAGACCCTCAACAACTTAGTGAGACCCTGTCTCAAAAAAAAAAAAAAAAAAAAAAAAAAAACCAAAATAAAAAGCTTTGGGGATGTATCTCAGTGGTAAAGCACTCCTATACCCAAAATAAAATAAAGTTAAAAAGGAAACAAGTTAGGAATAAGTGCTATAGTCTTGTGTTTTAGTCAGCTCTTTTGCTGCTATGACTAAAAGACCTGACCAGAACAATTGTAGAGGAGGAAAAGTTTATTTGAGGGCTCATGGTTTCAGAGGTCTCAGTCTACAAAAAGCAGCTCTGTTTTTTTTAGGGCTCGAGGTGAGGCAGAACATCATGGTGGAAGAGTATGATGGAAGGAAGCAGCCCACATGATGATCGGGAAACAGAGACAGACTCCACTATATGGATTCAAAATTTATACCCAAATCACATCCCCAATGACCCATCTCCTCCAGCCACACCCCACCTGCCTCCAGTTACCACTCAGTTAATCCCTATTGGGGATTAATTTACTGATTGGGTTAACACTCTCACAACCCAAACATTTCTCTTCTAAACCATCTTGCTTTGTTTCACACATGAGCTTTTGGGGGACATATTACATCCAAACCATGACATCATGGAGAAAAGTCAGAGAGCTAAGGGATTGTAGCAGAGTGGCAAAGCTAGAACTGAATTGTTCAATGTGTCAGGTCAGCATCGAAGGTAACATGCATGGACTTCAGTAAGAGCTATCTGTGCACAAAGAACAAAAATCCTCAACACAAAACATCTTCAATTGTTGTTTTAGGCCTTGGTGACATTGGAGAGGTGAGATTTATGGTTCTCCTGCCTTTAAGGAGGTCTCTTTTACCCAGCCAAACAGAGGCAGGCCTTAGAAGTGCCTTTTAGGACTAGACTGTCTGCTCTTGTCCTTCCTTCCTTTCATCATCTCTCCCAACCTAACTTGAATCGATTAGTTTGTTAGAAGGGGTGTTTTAATTGGGTTGAAATTGTGAAAGGTTTGCCTGTTGGAAAAATTGCTGAGAGAAGATTTGATACATATTTGCTTCCTGATGACCCTGGATAAGCCAACAGCTCTGATCCTTAGTTCTCTCATCTTGGAAAGAAGAACAATGGCTAGACAGCAGCTGGAGCCCTCCCTCAAGATTCTCTACCCACTCCTTGATTCCCTCGCTCTTTTCTTGGACTTCCCATTAATTTTATTTTTGTCCTGTTACACAGCATATTTTATCAGATTCATAGGCATTTTGTTTCTTGACTACTTTAAATAAACAGCAAACTCTCTTAAATCATTGAAATGTGAAAAGAAATGAAAATACAGCAGAAATTCAATCAGAGCAAGTTAGGTCTAGTTGCCTGCTGTTTATACCATTGTAAATAATCTCAAGGTGCCCTCCTGCTCGCTGAGTTTCCTCATAGCAGTTTATGCCCCATGCAGTACAGTTGAAAGACACTGACTGTAAAGGGATGCAGGGTCTAGCAGGAGCTTTGCCACTAATTAGCAATGTGACTTTGGACAAATCTTTTTACATCTTGGCGCTGTTTCCTCACCAGCACAGTAAATGGGTTGACCTCTATGATCTCCTAGGTCCTTTCCAATGCCAGATTTTTTAAAAGCCCATGATTTCAAGCCAAAAACTGTATTATGGAATGAGGTGATGGTTTGTATAAGTGCAAGTTGATTAGGGAAATGGCATAGGATTTATTTTTTAAATTTGCTTTCACAATAATGAATCATGGAATAAAGACAGAAGAGAGCGATACATTTAATGCAAGCATTCAAGGAAGCATAGCATATTTTAAACAATGGTTGAAAATAACCTTTCATTCTTTGCCCTTTTATTTTTCCTAATGGATGGCCTAAAATGGGTACTCAGGCTGAATAGTGGCTTTCATTCAATTTTAAGTCACCTATCAGGTTGGGTACGGCTGCTTTCCACGTTAGCTGACATTGCAGGATGTAGCACAATGCAGAATGAAGAGTTAGAAATGTGACATGGCATGTCAGAGACAATGCTTGCCTTTTGCAGATCAGTTATCATTTAAAGGTTGGTATTTAGAACCATCCTTAGATAATTCAATATCTGTGTCTCTGGTAGG